CCCCCCCCCATGGGCTTGCCCATCCCGCCGCCGGTCCAGACCCAGCTCCCGGATTGGGACGGCCTGAAGCTCCAGGTGCGGACCCTCATCGCCTCCCACCGCGTCATGATCTTCAGCAAGAGCTACTGCCCCTATTGCAACAAGGTGAGGCGGCGGCAATCACTTCGGCGCGCTCTCCCGCCGGCCTTCTCCTCGGGCTGGCAGCCGCCGGAGGGGGGGCTCTCGGAGTTGCTTCCCCTCCTCTCGCCGGGCGGAGGGTGTCTCGCCGGGAGGAGAAGGAGGCAGGCCTGGTGCGGTCCTTGTGCGAGGCGAGAGACATCTGCCCTGAGGGCGCCCGCTCGCACGCCTGGCGGCCCGCCCCGGCCGGGGGAAGTGCGCAAGGCGAAGAGGGGCGGAAAGCAAACGTTGTGGGGATGCTACTGCTTGTGACGGCGCCTTTGGGATTTGGGCAGTAGTTTTGTAGCGCTATATCAATCCCTCGTAAGTTAAATACCAGGTGCCATCCCCTGGAAACGTCCTTATCCTTATACGAACGAGCGACCTTAGCAGTTCTTTCCTCTTGCCCTGTGAGTGAAGGGGTGATAAATGTGTGGGAAGCTGTGGGCAGTGTGCTTGTTCCTCAGCTAAACAGCTTTTGTATCTGGTACTTGAAGAGTCAGGGTAGTGGTTGTGTTGCTTTCTCGCACTACATTGGTGTTCAGCTTGGACAAAGATGAGTCCCTGGGGAGGGATAAGTTAAGTTTCCTGCTGGTTTTGAAAATTGAGGGAGAAGGTTGAATCTGCAGCAAGAGTGAAAGTTCTAAATACTAACGTGTCTTTTAAAAAAACAACAAAAAGCTTATTGATTAACTGTGATGTTTAGAGAAAAAGATCTTTCTAAGCCCTGGTTATGTGTCAGTATCACAGGGTAGCTGTTATTAGTGAGCCAGAGTCATTAAAAAAACTCCAGGATCTTCATTATAATTTTACGATACCAGGACAATATAGTCATAGCCTATACAGAATCTGGGTGTTTGTCGGCATTATGATTCTTGAATGTTTACAAAGAGTGTGTTATGAAGTGTTTGTTAAACCTCATAATATAGTATTTGATGTGGCTGGTGGAAAAACAGAATTGGAACTGTGGGATCAAGTCCTGGTGTTCCTCAGTGGTATTAACAACCTGGAAAACATTCAGAAGCTGCACTCCCATGTGTAGGTTAGGTTTAGCTCCAGTAGCTCTTGTGAGGGAGGAAATATTATGATGCTGTTGTAGGAAACTTAGCTTAATATATCCTATCTCACTCACAACTTAATTGAGGTTTTGGGAAAGGAAGCTTCTGTGTATGAGAGGGCAGGAAAAACCAATGCCTCCTCTCCAAGAATGTTTTGGCAGCCATAGTATAGTATAGCATAGTGGGCAGCTCAGAGCCTCTAGAATTTGCTTACTTATTGGCTTAATGGGAATTTTAGTAAGTGAAGTAATGATAGAGTTGGAGACTTGCTCAAGTCTAGTGTAGTTGACAAAGATCTTCTCTTTAGTTGAAGAGAAACCACTTTGTTGAGGACTTCAGTGCTGTCCATTGAGAAATACTTAGCTGTGCCTGTCTGTGTTGCTTTGTGTGCTTTTAGTGATCGTAGTTGCTCAAGTGTTGATATGCATGGTGCTCAGTCCAATGTTTTTGAGATCATAAAATGACATAGCAACTTTTTAAACCTTGCAGCCTTTTCCTTCATGTGTTTCTGCTATTGCCATGGGGCTGGGCTAACACAAGGAGCTAAAGCAAAACATAAACTTGATTGTAGTCCAGTAATTAAATTCTAGATTAATATTTTTTCCTGCATTCGTTCAGAGCTTCTCCATTAGGCAGAATTACTTGCTTCAAGGAAAGAATCAGATATGAGGAATACTGTCTTGGAAAGGGAAGAATGAATATTGGGAGCAGGAGGGCCCTTTCTCATGTTCCTTTCTAGGAGGGAGAGCTGAAAGAGCTGCTGTGAATCTTTGTGAAGGAATAGGTGATAAAATTGGGGAAGGAGGTGGGAGAAGAGCTGATTGCTCTAGTAGGCAGATTTACTTTGCTTACTTTCCTGTTAAGAATGGAGAGAAAGGTAATATGATGAAGTGAACGTGTAGAAGAGGTATGTATTGCAGAGGGACAATTGGAGGAAGAAAGCTTATGAGAGAAGGAAGTCACACATAAGACAGCAAGTGATAAAACAAATATCTGTAGCAGTGTATTAACAACTCTGAAGACTTAGAAAATAGGGAAGGAATGGGAGAACAATGGGTAAAGCAGCATTCGTGCTGGCTGATCTAGTCTGTAGAATTAATGAAGTGGATATAATTTGGAAGTGTAGTTACAGCTTGGGTACTTAGCCTGTAATCACATAGTTTTGAGTTCCCGAAGACAGACGGATATGAATAGGGTGTGCTGTGTCTCTTTTACTGTGGATGGTTGTTAGCAATGTGCTTTTGGTAGAATTAATTGGAAAACTGATGATGTTTAGCACTAGTGCAGAGAACACTCGTGCTCTAAAAGGACCTAATTTGTTGGGGTAGGAAGAATTCTTTATTTCAAATGGATGTAGCCATGCTGGAAGAAAATTAAGATTGTGCTTTTCTTCAGAAAAGTACTGTGAATAAATTCTCTAAATGAATTAAGTAGTTGATTCTGTTCAGTTTAGCTAGTAGCATGACTGGGCAATTGTGCAGTTCTTTTTCTGCAAATGGAATTTATTGTTTAATTGCTTTAGCAAGGCAGTAGCGCTGAAGCAGTGGTGTTAGAATGACTTCCTTGTCATAGCTTAACTTGACTGTTCTTTAATATCTTACTACCTCAAAAAGATTAATGGTGAGTAAGGTAGAAAGGCATAAATAAAACAAGTTTCTAGTGTGAAAAATTGCCAAATCTGAACACTGTCATATGTTGAAATTATTTGAAGAGCAAAAACTGTGGTTGCGTAGAAGTTGCCGGTTATTCTAGTTGTGTTATGCTATTACCAATTATGTTCTGTATCCACAAGGGTTTCTGGTCAATTCAGCTGTAGCTATTACAGAATGTTAGCTGATATGTGAGAAAGAGCAGACTTAGGACACACCATTATTACTGAACTTCACTGTATGAAGCTTATTTCAAATGTGCTTAGCCACCCTAGTGACAGAAAGCATCTCCAGGAAGTGTTTTTTAAAGTGGTAGACCAGTTTCTCAGATTTAGAGAAATTATCTACTGTTTAGTAATATCTGGAATTTTTTCTAGTCTCTTTGTGTAAACTGGAAGGGTTTAGGAAGTAAATGAGGCCATCGTGTTGATTAGAAGGGAAGTAAATGGTTGTACCAGTGACCATACAACCTAGTATCCTGTCCCAGGTACTTGTTGGAGAAATTATATTTTTAGGATTGAGGTATAAGGAAGGAAATTTCCCAGTATGCTGCTGAAGTTCCCAGCACTCTGTGGCTCAGGAGTTTCCTGACCTGATTTTGTATTAGATTTCTTGAGTTAAAAGTTTTCAGTGGATCTTTCTTTCACTAGTTGGTCTAGTAGCTGTTTTGATCTCCTTTTAATTTTGGCTTTTACAGTGTCAGGTGGCCATAGGTTCTCTGGTTTATATAATGTATGGAGGTTTACTTCCTTTCCATTTCAGATTTGTTTTCTGGTAAATGCAGTTGTTGCAGTTTGCTCCAGTGAGTATTTCTCAGAAATCATTTCCTGTTCCCCTTATCTAGATATTACTCATGATTAGTCTGTGATACCTCTCTACTCCTCCTAATCTTTTCCGAGATGAAATAATCTATTATCTCTTGTCTGTATTGAACATTTCGTAACTTATCATATACTTGTTACTTTTCTTTCTTTTCCATTAGCACAAGAATGGTCTATTCATAAAGTGCAATAACTACTTCTAATTAGGATGCTGACATTTGTTTGATTATTTTTTTTCCCCCTCCATATATTCAGTTAAGTGTAAAAGTTGCCTAAATGCATTCTCTTAAATCTGTCCTTTCTTGAGTGTAATCCTTTCTTGTTCTACAAATGTCCTCTGGCCTGTCCTCCCCCTGCCAGTTGTTGTTGTAATATTTTAAGTTTAAAAAAAACAAACACAAAATAACAAAGCCACTGATGAAAACTTGCCTGTTACTCTGCTGCTTTGCTGCAAACTGAACCAGCAGCCAAGTAGCTAATTTTGTGACTTCCTTCCAGATTCTTAGCTTACCACTTCATAGCAGCAGTCCCTGTAAGCTTTGCTTTTCAGATCTTTCATGACATTCAGCTTGGGCATTGTAACAGCAGCTGCAGAGCAAGAGGTTTGGAATGGTTCCACTTCCATTTCCCTTTTATTCAGTCTGTAGTCATTCCAGTAAGCAAGTCTGAAGGTAGTGGTAAGTTTAGGACAAAAATTTTTAGGGCCACCTAAAGGGCACAGGTCAATGAGTACAAGTGGCAACAAGAGATACTCCAGTGATATAAAATGGGAATTCTTCACTGTGAGGACGGTCAAACATTGGAACAGCCCAGAGAGGTTATGGTATCTCCCTCCTTGTCAATAATTCAGAACTGGACCAGACAGTGTTTTGAGCAACTTGAGCAACCTTCACATTTGGCCTTGCTTTGAGCAGGGAGTTAGATCAGATGACCTCCAAAGGTCCCTTACAACTTAAATTATTCTGTAGTTGTAGATCTAATGCAATCGGTTATACAAGAAGAGCATATTTTTGTATATTACGGTTGATACATGATGTGGTAGGAAACTTGCCATGTTTGCCAAGCTTTGTTTGTCTGTAGAAAGCACTGGAATACTCAGCCTTTGGCACCAGAACAGCATGGATCATGCCAACATCAAAAATATTTTCTTTATCAAGTGGTAGTTCGGACACTTTGCCGTGTACTTTGAAGACACTCACTGAGGAACGTTGTCATCTACCTGGGCAATATCTTCCAGTGTCTTGCTGTTAGGAAAAGCTTTTTGTAAAGTCTCATCTCAATCCCTTGATGTAGTTCAAGACTGTTAGCTCTTATTCCATCCACCACAACTTCTCTTCTTCCTTCAATAAGGTAGTCAATTATTTATTTAAACAGAGTTATTTCTTTCCCAATCTTTTCTTTATGTTAAACCTAACTCTTCTTGTTCTAAAACTTCTCTGAAGCACAGCAACCAAAAGTGAAGGCAGAACTGGTAGGGATGAGCTGCCCTAGCTCTGAGTACTCTCAGGGAGTCTATTTTTATACACTTGTTTGGCAATGTTTTGTTTTACATGTTATCATCTATTTCCTTTTTACCTTTCTTTCCTTAGTACTATCAAGGAATCTGGCTGCTACTTTCTTTCTTCTTGATGTTTTCCATATGACACTTATTCTCATGGCTTTTGGTATCTGTTGGAGATAGAGAAGTCTGCAGCTATAAGCAAATTGTATATAGAAACTTTTTCTTAAGGTAATGAAACTTGTATTGGAAGGTTGCTGTGATGTGGGATGCTTAATCTGAATGCTCTTAAATAGCCTGGCCTTAGGTGAGGAACATGCAAAATCTAGTAGTAGTGCCAAATTTTACAAAAGGCACGTAGAGTGAGGCCCTCAAAGCATAATAGCTGAAACTTGGAAGTTATCCGTGTATGTCCAAAAAACTAGTTTCACCCTGAGCTGCGTATTGAGTCCTGTGAGAGCTTTGCACTGATGTCGTGTCTGTTTCTGCTGTAGGTGAAGGAACTGTTCCGCTCTCTGCGTGTGGATTATTATGCCTTGGAACTGGATGTAGTTGGTAAGTGGAAACAAAATCTGTCACATGCTGATAATGAAACTAAAAATGGGTGACTGTGCATGATTCTTTAAGCTGTCTTGAACTAATTGGAGGATATATGCAGCAATTAAATTCAATTGTAATATATGTAGAAATAACAGCAATGAGGCTTCAATATGAATTTTAATGCAGGAGGTGTTTTTAATACAGCTGAAGGCTTTGACTCTTTCTGTAAAAATCACCACCAAGCTCTGATAGAGGATGTGAGTTCTGTTTTCTTCCTCTGAGGAGCTCTGTTTTTTAGGGGGAGAAAATGTGATATTTTTTCTTCCTCAGGTTCTCTTGTGGCTTTAACTGAATAGTTAATGTTTGACTTTGTATATGAGTGACCTTCATAGGGAAAGTTGCCGAGTCATTGGAAAGAAGGGTAAATTCCAGTTATTTGACTGTTGCTAGTTTGAGGAGGGGGGGGTTTATAGCCCAAGCTTCATTAGTTTTAATACATGTATAGTGCCCTATGCATATAGTTTTTCATGTCAGTTTAAGAACAAGTAGTTTCTACCATAATTCTTAGCAGCCTCTTAATTGCACTGTTGACAAGCTGTTGATTGTGTTAACAATTTTTTCCTGTTTTCTTGTGCTTGAGCAGTGCTTGGAAAAAAAAGTACTTATTTATCGCTCCAAAGCATCTCTTCTTACTTATTTTTACTTTTCTTTAAAGTTGTGATACTGTGAACTAATTACAGCCCAAGATATGCAGAGTGCAGCACACAGCCTTTTTTTTTCTGTAATTACTCCTAATTAGGAATGTCTTTCCCTTGCAATTGCTCTCATTACTTATACTAAATATATATGGTCTTGGAATAAAAAGATTTTAGTCAAAGTGACTGCTGTAAATTCTCATACCCACATTTACTGCTGGAGAACTGAGATCTAAATTGAGCCTGTGTAGGTGTGATGATTCAGCTGACAGGTCAGGTCAGGCAATGATAATCTTAAAAACTGGAAGATTTAAGGCAGTGTGGTAGGTAGAAAAAGTGTGAAGGTAGCTTTAGGGTAAGTAGAAGAGCATGTTCATTCTTCCCATCCCCATAATCTCATAGTACAAAGCTGCTGGGCAAAACCGTGTGCACTTACACAGAGCAAAGTCCAAAGCCAGACAATTCTCATGAAAGAAAACTGTCTGTATGATCTCCTGTGACACCTGGAAAATAATCTTTGTGTAGTACCAAGTGTGACACTTGAGAAGAGACTGATAAGAATCCAGGAAATACAGAGACTAAACTCTATTACTTCAACTTTACTCTGTCCTGGGGAATTACGGCTTGAAGCACCAATTTATCCTTGGTATTTAAGCATTCTCCTTTGAGAAGGAGTTTCTGAAGACTTGCTTCTGTTCAGGAAGTCTACAAGTGCAATGCTTAGAATAGTTTTCTTGGCAGGCCGACAGTATATTGCAGTCCAAACCTGTAATACTTGGGTTGTTTTAGAAGCTTCCTTTTTGAAAATTGTTCTCTCATGTCCCCGTTTCTTTTATTCTTAGCTGATGGACCCAGTATTCAGCAAGTGTTAGCAGAGCTAACAAATCAGAGGACAGTGCCTAATGTATTTGTGAATGGAACGCATGTAGGCGGCTGTGATTCAACTTACCAGGTAATTTTTCTTTAAAAATCAGCTGGAAGTAGACAAGACTGGTGAGTAAACTTGCTGTTTGGTCATAATTAAATTTTGTGTGACTTAGTAGACTGAGCGATGTATGTCAGAGAAGGTAACATCATGCAGTGTTTGCTTGCTCAGAAATGTCTGTGGTAATTTAATTTGTTGGTTTTTTATTTTTTTACAGGCTTATCAGGATGGATCACTGCAGAAACTTCTTGGGGATAGCAAAATTGCGGAACCTTATGATTATGATCTCATTATTATTGGTGGTGGCTCAGGTGGACTTGCGTGTTCCAAGGTATGACATAAAAATTGCATCAAATAACAGGTTGTATATGAAACTTCTTCAAAAGTTGGTCTCTGTATTAATCTCAGTAGTATAAAAACAGTCTATATTTTGATGATGATTACTGTTCAACTTGTTAATTAATGAATCAGTAGTGGTCTAGTAATGTGCTCACTGAGGAAATCATGGTTTGTGTGTACCAGTTTCTAGCCAATGCCTATTTAGGTCTTGATCCTAATAGTAGGTTCTAGGTTCCTGGCTGAGGGTGGAACCGGAAGTTTTTCAAATATCTCCTCTTCATGTGTAATACACAAGCACTTTAACACTTCCAAATGGTAATCTGCAAAACCTGAGGGCTATTCTTGAAGTACTTCTGACTGTTGAGGATTCTAAACCACCCGTCATCTAAAATGAAGTGCTTTCAGCTGTTCTGCCTAGGAACTGGCTCACTTTTTATTTCTCTTTCTAGCTGCTTTTTCAGAAATAGTGATAGAGATCATGTGCCTCTTACTCAAATAGCTGTTGTTCAAAGTGCCTCAGGACTAAAATACAGATTCTGTTTTTGCTTCTCTGAGATATCTGAACCCACATTTCCCACCTCTCAGCCATGTATCTCAACCACTAGTTTATGGTTTGGGCATGGTGATGTTATTCTTGACAGCCTTGGCAATTGCTGTACAACAGTAGTTAGGTGTGCAACTTAAACTAGATGAGTATAAGAAAGGCAGGAGAAGGTGATATAGCACTGCTTCAATTGGCCAATATTAATTGGGCATTTTCAGAATACTCCGTCTTTCCTCACAGTGCCTTCTGGGACATCAGTTATAAACTTGGTGTTAATTACTAAACTCCTCATTATGAGAGAAGTCAGGTTTTCACAGAATACAAGGTAGCTGACAAAAGCTTGTTTAAGGCAGGATTGCAGTAACTGTGCAGGAGTTCTTAAACAGATTTTATGTAAGCCCTTCAAAGATCAAACAACAGGTAGTTTCAGTCAAGTGCCTGGTAATTCCTTGGCTAGAGTGTCATAGGATTATTCAGGTTGGAAAGGACATTAGGAGGATGTCTAGTCTAAGCTTTTGCTCCAAGAAGGGTGCACTGTGAGGTCCAGGAAGATTATGCAGGACCTCATCCGTTTGGGTCTTAAAAAGAGCCAGGGATGGAGATGGCAGAGCTTCTCTGGGTGAACTGCTTCACTGCTTGAACATCCTCATGGTGTGAAAGTTGTTCTTATATCCAGTCTGAAACTCTCTTGTTTCAACTTATGGCCTTTGTCTTTTGTCCCTCCACAACTTGTCAGTGTGAAGAGCCTGGTGCAGACATCTTAATGACCTCCTCATCGGTATTGGAAGGTCTTCCCACCTTTTCTCCAGGCCAAACATGCCCAGCTCCCTCACTCTTCTTGTAGGGTGTGTGATCCACCCCACTGACCATTTTGGTGGTCCTCCACTGAACTGTCTCCAGTTTATTAGTGTCATTCATTCATGAATATGCCAAGTCAGTCCTGCCCTCCTGAAAGAAAAGGAGAGCTAACAGCATAAATGTTTATCTGGGTGAGGTAGAGGAGGATTGTAAGCTAATAAGCCCATCTTGTACCTTCTTCAGACTGTGGCTTTTGACAGTGTAGGATGATATGGGTGCAGTGTTGAACACAAGCATCCATTCACAGTTTGGAGGAGAGTAATAGCTTTTGAGGGACTTGAATTTTTGGCTAATGAAGTAGATGAAGAGCCATATATGATAAAAGCAGCAAAGGAGCCTTCTGTTAGTACTAAGTATATCATGACTGTAAATGGACAGACAGACTTTCTTTGTCAAGCCAAAATTCAGCAATACTGACCTGTCTTCATCTTTTATAGGAAGCTGCTGCCTTGGGAAAGAAGGTAATGGTATTGGATTATGTTGTTCCAACACCTCTTGGAACTTCATGGGGTAAGCTTCTGTTAACTTGTATTTTATGATGTTTGACTGCCAGTGATACGTATTGACTTATTAGACATTATGGATTTGTATTCTTAGAATTTGTGGCTTAATTCCTGTAATTCTAGAACACAGATCAGTTGTTCTCCTGCTGTGACTATTTTTCTGGACAGTTATTTCTGTTCTGTGTATTGCTAACTCAAATAAGTCAAATGCCGTTCAGTTCTGTTCACTTTCAAACCATGTCCAGGTAATGTGTGCATGCATATGTTTACATTCTTGTGTTTGTGGGGTTGGTTTTTTTTTGCCTTTTAGTTCATTTAATTCTGTTTTGTGGACAACTGATCTAGGCTTCCTCTAGAACAGTGTGCCTATGCATGCTTCACCTTTCCATCATTAACAGCAGCTGCTGTCTGATGTTATTGGCAGCTGAGAATGAGTGAGGAACTTCATTGGTCAAGTTTTTTTGAGTCAAAGTATGAATGTGCTTTCATAGCTAAAGATTTGAAATCAATACGTATTTCAAATTCCACATAATAGGTGATATTAGACTCTAGGAACTCTGGGCTTTTTGTGTTGCTTATTTGCTAATCTGACTGAAACCTGAAGCACTGTGGAGTAGATATTCTGGCTCTGTTTAAGACAAGACACTGTACCCTTCTTGGCTCAATGAGTGAAGTAACCTCTTAAACTATATACAGACTTGTAAGCTTAGTGTGTTAATTGTATTTTAAATGTCTATTACAACAGAAATACCATGTTACTTGTGTGGCTGTAATAAGCCACCAACTGATATATGGGTGGTTATATGAAGCACATGATAGGAAAAGCATAAATATGCTGTTCATGCAGGTAATAACATGGTTCTTTCCATCTTAGGACTTGGTGGCACATGTGTAAATGTAGGTTGCATTCCTAAGAAGCTAATGCATCAAGCAGCACTTCTGGGTCAGGCGCTCCAAGATTCAAGGAAATATGGGTGGCAGTATGAAGAACAAGGTTAGTAAGAACACAGGACAGACCAAGACATCCTCCTTCTTGAGTCATAGAAACCTTTAGAGTTGAAAGCTAATTGTGTTTTGTTCCCTGTGTTATCCAAATTAAAGAACTTCTAGAATGGACTTACTTCAGAGAGTAACAAGTCAGGTAAATATTAGCATGGTAGAACAAGACTAACATTTGTCTTCATTACTGATAGTGATATTTTCTTGTCTTATTCATGGAACATCATGCTATGTTTTTTCTTAAAGGGTTCATTGTACTTTGATTTCATTAAATAGGAAATTAATGTCTTGTTTCAGTTAAACACAACTGGGAGGTTATGGTAGAAGCAATTCAAAACTACATTGGTTCTTTAAACTGGGGCTATCGAGTCTCCTTAAGAGAGAAGTCTGTGACGTACCTCAATTCTTACGGGGAATTCATTGAACCACACAAAATTAAGGTATGTACTGTGTTTAAAACATTTAGTTGTGTGAGAACTCATGTTCTAAGACTGCGTTTTAAAATCCAACAGGGAAAAGGCTTCATCTCAACATTGCTTACTTAAGTCAACTAAAGTTGAAAACTCACTTGTGAGATAAATTATTGATTCAAATTATTACTGTACTTTAGTACTTGCCACAGTGTTTAGTAACTGTTAGGTAAGAGTAGTGTGGATATCTGTAAACTTACATCTTGCATGAACAGAATAAGGTGGTCTCAGCTGTAACTTCATGACCGAGATCAGCAGCCTGAGTGAGGAGGGGGGGAAAAAAAAAGCAAATCCAAAAAAAACCCCAAACCAACCAACCAAACAAGAAAAGCTTTAGCTTTGTGATTTTGTCACTTGGAAAATCTTCATACTAAAGCATAAAAATTATTGAAATTAAATTCAGATTAAGCACTTGCGTAACAGTGCTCCTAGAACCTTATGCTGTATCAGCATACGGATTACACTGTCGGTTTTGCAAGACAAAACATGTGCTGGCAATCTTGTTGCTAGTGATCATATGGTGGCAAGGTTAACTTGGAAGCAGTGCATATTGAAGATGACTCTTTGGTTCAGTGGGTGTAATTGTCTGTTTTCAGTATGGGTTTATGAAGGCTGAGGTACATGTGTTTTGTACCAAGAGACTAGCACTTAAAAGATAGTAGTATGCTCAATTTACCTCATCTACCAACTGTTGTAGCATTGAGGTATGCAGGTCATGTACTTAAGTGTCCTTAGTCTAGAAATGAAGTAGAACAGAGATTTTCAGCAGGTTGGACTAGATGACATCCTGAGATCCCAAGCTGAATTACCTGATGCCTCGATGAGGAGGAAGTTTCCCTTAATCTGTGTTGGAAAATTACTAAAGAGCAAGAATGAGCATCAGATTTTGAGAGATGCGTTGGCAAGATGAAATTTCCCAAGTACAAGGGCCTCTAGAGGTCAAATTAGTTTGAATTAGTTTAAGATTGGGTCTTACGCCCTCTAAAACTATGTAACTAGATACTTTTTTTAACTTCTACATCAGCCTAAACTAATTGAAGTTATTCTGTCACTGGCATTCTGTTGGCCTTTTATTGGAAAGGGAGGGCATTGGGGTCTTAATTTGTTGTGGCTTTTTGTACCTTGAAAGTAAAGTTCTGAACACCTCAATCTAAATGAGTAGTTGAAATGGGCAGGATTTAAAGAGTAAGTGATTTTCAGTTCTCCTAACAACTGTGAGAAAAGCCTGATAGTTTGTGACCTGCATGGCTTCTCTAAAAGCATTAGCTCTTGTTTTAAACTGCTTGTTCTTCATTCTTCAACATATCCACAATACCTAAGAGGAAGATTACATAACTTTTTAATTTTATGTTAAAACATGTTCCTACGTTAAAGACTTTTCTATCTGTGTCTATATAAACAGGCAACTAATAGAAAAGGACAAGTAACCTATCACACAGCAGAGACTTTTGTCCTGGCAACGGGAGAAAGGCCTAGATACTTGGGTATCCCTGGTGATAAAGAATATTGTATTACAAGGTGAGATGAAAAGGCATGATGGACTGGATTTTGTCTGCTTTAGTGTTTGCAAAGACAAACAAGCTTGTGTTGGAAGTACCTTGTGACTTACACTTCTTTTCTTTTTAGTGATGACCTCTTCTCCCTGCCTTACTGCCCTGGCAAAACTCTCGTTGTGGGTGCTTCCTATGTGGCTCTGGAGTGCGCAGGATTTCTCGCTGGTCTGGGGCTGGATGTGACAGTGATGGTGCGTTCCATACTCCTTCGGGGCTTTGACCAAGAAATGGCAGAAAGAATAGGTGCCTACATGGAAACGCATGGCGTGAAGTTCATCAGGAAGTTTGTACCTGTGCAGGCAAGTGCTTTCTTTAGGTTTCTTCTCTCCATGCAAAGTTACTTTAAACAGCACATGTAGAGTGCGTGTGCTGTCTGAGAAGACTTTGGCTCTGTACAGAAATAAATGTTTCATGAGATTAAGCTTTTTTTTTTACTGCTGAATGATAGATTAGTAGGTCAGAGTTTGAAATTACAGTGTAAGTGACCTCTGCTGCTCGAAGTCATTCTGAGCTTGCAAATATTTCAACAGGTTGAACGGCTGGAGGAAGGCATGCCTGGAAGACTGAAGGTGACAGCAAAGTCTACTGAGGGACCAGAAATCTTTGAAGAAGAATATAACACTGTAAGCACTTCTGGATTTGAAATAACTGAATATAGCAGCACATGAAAATGTATTAAGATACTTGAAAAGTTGTTCAGGAAAAAAGGGAAGGGAAATCTTGCTTAAAAAATTGTTCGTATAAATTACTGGCAAAAACAAATACACAAAATTTCAGTATTCGTCTTCAGCTGAGCCCTGTCAGCAGAGAGGGTGGAGACTTTACATGCCTGGAATTTAGTTCATGTGAACAGTGTTGTTTCCTTTATTTTTGTTCTGGTATTAATATTTTGCTGATTGTTGCATCTCGGAAACAATTTGCACATGGAAGAGCCTGACCTGTTGGGAACTCTTTCAGAAAGTTTTTGAAAAGTCACTTAAATTGTATGCTTCCATTTTTTCAGAAGAAAAGACCAAAGGAAGTGTTATGCCGATTACACTTTTCTTACATAACATTATTGCATTGAATTTTGCTTTTTTCAGGTTTTGATAGCTATTGGTCGTGATGCATGTACCAGAAACATTGGTTTAGAGACAATTGGTGTCAAAATCAATGAGAAGTAAGTATTGCTCAACTCCCCTTAAAGCACTGAGTGCAATGACATTTTTTATTTTACCTCTTTAACAATACCTCATGATGCATGCTTGCTTTAAAAATCCTTACTCTCGTACCTGGCAATTATGTGATCCTCTAAAACCTTTTATCTCCTGGGTTTGACTAAACTTGTTCATTAAGTTAATTTCTTTAATATGTATTTCATAAAAACTCTTCTGAATGAGAAAATATGCTTAATATATTTGCTTAATTTACCTAGAAACTACAGTTTAATATTCTGTTAAACACTTCATTCAACTCACGTGATATGTTAATCTAGAGATTTAAAGAGGGAGTAAACTACTCACTTCCTACAGATTTAACTTTTTGCTTGTTTCTCCCTGATGTCAGTGAAAAACTGGTGCGAAGGAAGAGACAGCATTATGTTGCTCATGAGAGAGAAAAATTGAAATCAGGTTGCAGCAGCTAACAATTTACCAAGCCAGCTTACTTAAACATGAGTGACATTGCAGCTCTTGTTTCCCCATAGGGGAAAATGTACATTGCAAGGTGTATAATAATCAAGTAAAAGATCATAAGTCTAAAGTTGTTGATTAACTTCTTCGTCATCAGATGCATGCATTGCTCAGGTCAAAACTGGCCCCCTGAATACTGACTTCAGCCATGGGTCAGAGTTGGAGGTAATTGATGCTCTGAAGAGTTTGCAATTGAAATAAAGAAAAGCATTAGCATATTGAGTAGAATGCGTTCAGTAGTTAGAATAACATCTTCGTAGCAGAGCTTCTCCCCTGTTCTGCTGAGCTCTGAGGAAGGTTATGATACTGAACTCTGTTCTCTCTTTCTTTGTTTTAAAGAAATGGGAAAGTACCTGTAAATGATGAAGAACAAACCAATGTGCCTTATGTTTACGCTATTGGGGATATATTGGATGGAAAGCTTGAGCTTACTCCAGTTGCCATTCAAGCAGGGAAACTGCTTGCCCGCAGGCTTTATGGTGGTAGTTCCACAAAGGTAAAGCTATAAGAATGCAACTTCAACTTTTACCTCCAGATTGCAATAACGTGAATTGATTTGTCCACTTGACTGTGGGCACTGCATGTGTTTTGTAAAATAAGAAGTGCTAATACAGCTTTTCCTGTGATGTACTGTGTAGAACTTGCATAGTCTAAATATAAATTTTGTTCTTTTATTTTTAGTGTGACTATATCAATGTACCAACGACAGTGTTTACTCCTTTAGAGTATGGCAGCTGTGGGTTAGCTGAAGAAAGAGCCGTAGAGGAATACGGAAAGCAAAACTTGGAGGTGAGAGCACTCAAGACTTGTTTAACTTGTTGCTCTTTTAATTGAGTGTTTAAATCAGGGGTGCATGGTTTAAGTTTTCCTCTGAGTCAGATCTCATGGTGGGAGTTTGCTGTAGACCACCTAACCAGGATGAAGAGATAGACAAAATATTCCATAGGCAGCTGGGAGAAGCTTCACGGTCGCTTCCCCTTGTACTTGTAGGGGACTTCAACTTCCTGGATATCTGCTGGAAATATAACACAGCAGAGAGGGAACAGTCCTGGAGGGTCCTGGAGTGTGTGGAAGATCACTTCCTGACACAGCTGGTGAAGGAACCGACAAGGGAAGGTTCCCTACTGGACCTGCTGTTTGCAAACAGAGAAGGTCTTGTAGGGGATGTGGTGGTTGGAGGCTGTCTTGGGCATAGTGACCATAAAACGATAGTTTTCTGTACTTAGAGAAGCAAGGAGGGGGGCTACAGAACTGCCACTTTGGACTGCTGGTGGGCAGACTTTGGCCTGTTTAGGGACTTGGTTGGCAGAGTTCCTTGGAAGGCAGTTCTGAAAGGCAAAGGAGTCCAGGAAGGTTGGATACTCTTCAAGCAGGAACTCTTGAAGGTGCAGGAACAGGCCATCCACGTGTGCTGGAAA